TTCCGGCGGGTGCCTTACCTCCCTTGGGCTGGGCCAGCTGGTGGTCGGCCTGCTCCGTCTCTGCCGCTTGCCAGCTACGCCTCGGCCGGCGCAGGGGGCGGAACCACGCATGCGCGGCGCTCCCGGGCAGGGAAAGTCCTCGACTTACGACCGGTTTAGTCCTCGACTTACGACCGGTTGGGGTCGCGGCATTAAAAAGGTTGAGAACCACTGCCCTATGAGAACTTCTGCTTTGCTGGGAACAACGCAAAGGGCTCTCTGAAACGTTTGACGATTTCCCTGATCAACAACGCTGGGCATTTGTGTGTGAACGTACAACGGAGTCTTGCTTATTAGCTTGATGTGCCCTGTTAGTCGTGCAAGGGTAACACTTTGGTATTTTGGGGTTAAGTTTCCTTTCCAGTTCTTTCTCGTAAAAAATCTTTGCTTTTTTTTTTTTTTGCTTTTCACGTTATCTCTTCGGGTCAGCTAGCCAACTGCATGGAGTTTCATCTTCTGTGTGTTTCTTCTCTGTGTCTCCTTTCCTTTCCTCTCTTTGCTACTTTGCCCGTTATGAATAGGATCAGCCTCTGTGCACGCGGAGCTTCGCCACTGCCATGACGCCCACTTCTGTCTTCATTTTTCTGCACGTTTTCATGTGGTGTGGATGGTCAGTTACTTTCTCTAATTTTGTGTTTTTATTTCATTTCCCCCACCCCAAAGTTGTTGGTTTTGGTTTTTTTTTGCAAGAATATAAAGGGAACTAAGAATGCACAAAACTGATGACAAAGGGATGAGTGATGTATAGAGGCTTGTTCAGAACTTAGTTTCTCTCAGAAAGAGGTTAGGAGCGGGGTAAGATCCTTCCCCTTCCCCTCTCCCTTCCCCTTCCCTTCCCTTTCCCTTTCCCTTTCTACTTCCCCTTCCCCCTCTCCTCCCTTCTTCCCTCCTCTCCTCTCCCCTCCTCTCCTCCCTTCCCTTTCCCTTTCTCCTTCCCCTTCCCTCTCCTCCTTTCTCCCCTTCCTTCCTCTCCCCTCCCCTCCTCTCTCTCCTCTCCTCCCTTCCATTTCCTGTTCTCTTTCCTCTTCCCCTTCTCCTCTCCTCCCTTCCCTTTCCCTTTCTCCTTCCCCTTCCTCTTCCCCCTCTCCTCCCTTCTCCCCTCCCTTCCTCTCCCCT